GTCATTGGTTATACTGAGAAGTTGGAAACAACCTCGATGCCATCTATTGGCCATCTTGTGGCAGCCATCTTGTGTCCACATGGGGGCATTCATCTGTGTATTGGAGTGACAGTCAATTTGCATATTATTCTTTTATTAGGTAGGATAGAGGCCTGGTGCATGGGTGGGGGCCGGCTGGTTTGCCCTGAAAGGTTTCCCGGATCAGGGTGGGGCTTCCCTTGGGGCATAGGGTGGCCTGGGCAAGGGACCTGTGTTGTTTTGCAGGCCAGCCACGCCCCCCAGTAACCCAAACATAGGCTGGGAAGCAGGTATCTGGAATTTATTTATCTTCTATAATTAATACTTTGTAGCCTTGAGTGGAGACTAGGGCAGGACAGGGCAGGTGGGAACTTGGCTTCCTCCATTGCTGAGCAACCCAAGCTCTGTGGCCGAGCCATCTTGGTTGGGTTTATTTGCATACTCACTCCTGATTGGCTGGTGGGTATGGCTTGTGGGCATAGCAGAGTATGGTTAATTTGCATGTTTCTATTTTATTAGATAGGACTAGTGGCCAGTGAATCCAAGCCTCCTGCTTGCTCCAGCTTCATGGCCAGCCACCATCTTGGTTGGGTTGATTTGCATAATCACTCTTGATTGGCTGGAGGGCATGGCTTTGTATAGCAGAGTGATGGTTAATTTGCATGTTTCTCTTTTATTAGTGTAGACTAGTGGCCCGGTGAATAAAATTTGTGCATGGTGTGGGGGGGGAGGGTTATCCCTCAGCCCGACCTGCATCCTCTCCAATCTGAGTCTCCTTGGGAGATGTGCAACTGCTGGTTTAGGCCCGATCCAAGTGGGATTGCACCTAACATAGCAATCCCTCTCATAATCTGGGACCACTGGCTCCTATCCACTCACCTTCCTGCCTGCCTGATCACCCCCAACCGCTCTGCCTGCCGACCTGATTACCCCAACTGCCCCCCCTCTGGCCTGATCACCCCTAACTGCCACCACTCCTTCTCTGGCCTGATCGCCCCCAACTACCTCCCCCACCAGCCTGCTTGCCCCCAATTGCTCTCCTCCTTCCCGCCCCCCTCCCGACCTACTTACCCCCAACTGCCCTCCCCTCTTGGCCTCATTGCCACTAACTGCCTCTGCCTCGGCCCTGACACCATGGCTTTATCCAGAAGGGCGTTCAGAAGGTCTCCTGGTCTAATTAGCATATTACCCTTTTATTAGTATAGATTCTTTGTGTATACATGAAGAAGTCTAGATGGAAAAATATAATTCAGTTGATATCCTAGGATATGTTTGGGTTGGATCTCATTGTAGATTCCTATTGTCTTTTACATTTTTCAGTGACAGATTTTTCTGTAATGAGTATAGTATTAATCACTAAAGCATAATCAAATTTCTTAAATAATAAGATCATGAAGTGCAGGCCAATAGCATTAACACACTGGAAACATCAAAGTAGGCTTGATCCTACTCCCCCTCTGACTTTTTAACTATGTCTTGTTATAAGTGTATCTTCAGAAGCAATGACAGAGGAACAGTGGTGAATCCATAAATACAGCCTGTTTCTGATGGGAACAAAAATAGAAGAGGCTGACATTATTTGGAGTGTTTCTACATTTTTTTTTCTGATTCCATTTTAGTTGTGCCATGTAGGCTTCTTCTGGGGATGTTTGAAGAAAAACTGGGTGGGACCCAAAGGGCGACCTGCCAGAAGTTTGAAGCATCTGGATTGGCGCACTCTTTGTTTCCTGATGCAGGATAGATCCATTTCCCAGGGTATCAGATTAAGGCGTCTCCTTTCTGGAGAAAAGATTTCATGGTTTAAATTCCCGTTCACTTTTGTGTCTGTGGCACTCTGCTGTCTCCTTTCCAGCATGCAGCCTCAGGGGTCATGCTGTCCCTTCCCTGCTGATATCAGCGTGCCAACTGTGGTGTCATGCACACCAAGCACAGAGCTGCCATTCAGCTTCCAGTCTGGGTTCAGGAAGCAAAAGAGCTTCTAAGTTCCTACAAACCTTGACAGATCTTCCTCTAGCCTTGCATGTTAACAGCTTTCAGAGGGAAGCGGGGGAGGGGAATGGAGCTGTGGGGAACAGGGTAAATGTCAAGGGTGATTATGTGACAGGAACAGAGAGAGCAAACAGTTGTCACCAATGTTCAGAAGAAAGAAAGGTGGGCGACAATTTAAAGAAATACTCCTTAGACTTTTCAATGGGATATTTATTTGGTTAGCACTGGGTTATCCTCTTCCATGTCCTTGCATTACTGTAATTGGTAAACTAGGAGGTAGTCACATCATTTGTCTTATTTAAAACAAATGTTTTTCATGAATGTCTAACAGAATGCCAGTAATTGGGATGTCGTAGTGAAAACAAATCCCATATAAAACTCATGATGGATTTCATGTTTTTTAAATTTTTTTTAATGATTCAAAATACAAAATCATGTTCTGGTTTAGGCTATTGTTAAAAGAGAGAGATGTTACTTCTATATTGATTTTCAAATAAGTGACATATTGTTGGAAAATTTTATTCCATAATATATTGCTTTCCACCACTTTACATGTGAATAAATGGGGCAGAATATTGTTTGAGTTGAAAGTATACTTACTGAGTGTAATAGCTAGAAATGTAGATACTGGTTAATTACGTAGTTATTTATAACTGTTTATAATACAACTTCTTGCCTCTCGCCTTCAGGTGCTATAACATTAATTTAGTATGTCAATCTGTTTGAGACTCTATAAAAGGAAGTTAAGTTATTTGGAACTCTCACCTATTACTTGAATGCCAAGTACAGTGCTATAATTATGTTATAATTAATCAATTAACTTACAAAAAATGTACTGAATACCTACTTTGTGCCAGACATGTTCTGGGGTACATCAATGACTCCTTTCTAGAAGTTTCTATCCAAAACTGGAAGACCGTAAATCATTAAACAACTACAAAGCTAATGTGTCAGGCAGTAATAAACACCAAGAACGAAAATAAGGTAGGGCCATTATAAGGACTATACATTTTATTGAGAAATATTTGCGTGGCAATGGATTTAAGCAAGAGAATATTGTGATCCAACTTTGGTTTACAGAGAATTGCTCTGGCTGCTGGATGGAGAATTGGCTGTAGAAGGCCAATATCCATTGAATTATCATACCCCTTTCCCCCAAGGTTATATTTCACTGAGGATGACTCTGTATCAATAGATGTGGAGATGTGCTCCTACACAGTTGGTTCTTACCTTTTCATTCTTAGTCTAAAACTCGTTTCTATTTATGTTGTTGTTTTTGTTAATCCTCACCTGAGAATATTTTTCCACTGATTTTTAGAGGGAGTGGAAGGGAGACAAAGAGAAACATCAATGTGAGAGAGGCACATCGATTGGTGTCCTCTGGCATATGTAAGGGATTGAGCTTGCAACTGAGGTATATGCCCTTGATCGGAATCAAACCGGGACCCTTCAGTCTGTGAGTGGACACTTTATCCACCGAGCCAAACCAGCTAGGGCTAAAACTGGTTTTTAAAATGAAATTTTTATGTTCAAATCTTTTCCTAGATAAGTTTTTTTCTGGAAAGTTACTTTTAGATACTTTCTTTCAAATTGGGAGTTTATCTAAACCCTGCTTTTTAATAATAGCGGCATGCCTTCCGCCCTCTGGTTTTCTCCTCAGAACTAAAATTTTAAATTGCCTTTAGATTCCATTTATAACCTACATAATAAAAACAGTCTCATTATTTAATTAGACTTGCATTTAATCAAAAGTGCCATTAAAAAATTTGATCAGTAACGTTATTATTACATCTGGGTTTATGTGACTTTTGATTAATCTCAGACATCAAACTACCCTCATACAATTGTATGTGCCACAAGTTTGGAAGGCAGATACACTAAAAGAGAACAAAGAATATTGGTAGCGATAGGGACCCCAATTAATAACGAACTAGTCTTTGAAAGGGTTATACCTCATTTAGAAATGTCATTTTGGATCATGATTTTGCAATGCTTTCTAACTGGTCTTCCTGCTTCTGTTCTTCAATCTTTATAATACACTAGAGGCCTGGTGTATGAAAATTTGTGCACTGGTGGGGGGAGGGTCCCTCAGCCCAGCTTGCATCCTCTCACAGTACAGGAGCCCTCAGGGGATGTCTGACTGATGGCTTTGGCCCGCTCCCCCTAAGCCAAAGTCTGGCCTCCCTCTGTGGGAGATGAGCCAGCAGGCTGATCAGGGGATGGTGCCAGCCAGAGAGTGAGCAGCCGGCCCCACCCCACCCCATTGCTCCTCTGCAGCTGCTGCTGGTTGCCATCACCCTCCAATTGCCGGCCCCTCCCTCTGTCTGCTGGCATGTGCCTTGGCTGGCCTGGCATCACCTGCTCGCTGGCCCTGCACCCTGCTGATCGGTCATTCTACCATTCAGTCAATTTGCATATTATGCTTTTATTATATAGGATTCTCCTCACACAGGCAAGAGTTATCTTTTTTAAAAAATGTAAACCAAATCATAATCACTTTTCTGCCTATAGGTTTGTAGTGGCTTCCACTACAATAACTCTGCCATGGCCTTCAAGGGGCTGCATTTAGGGTCTGCCACACATCACTTCTGTCCTCTCCTAACACCATCCTCTTGTCTTCTGGGCTCTAGTCACACTGGCCTTGTTGTTCCTCCTTGAATAAGCCACTCTGATTCCATGTCAAGGCCTTTAAACATGCTGTTCCTTCTGCCTGGAATGCTCTTCCCCTGAGATCTTTGCATAGCTTCCTTTACCTCAAGAGTCAGTTCTCTGCTGACTATTCAGTTTATACTTCTGCATTCAAACAGGCAGCACTGCTCTTTCTTGGAATAATAGTGAGCTCTTCCCCAGATGTGATAAAAAAAAAAAAAAACTTCTTGTGATTGTATCACTTACAGATAACACAAGGTATAAATCAAATGAGAATGCTATGAGCAAACAACCCGGGGTTTGCACAGTCTTATATACTCATGGTATTTTCTTTTTCTTTACAGGTTATTTTCAGAGCTTTGACACCACCATTTGACATGGAGAACCCTTATAGTGCCAAAGCGCAGGAGCAGCTGAAGATCACCAACCTTCGTGTGCAGCTGCTAAAACAACAGTTTTGTCCCTGTCAGAGAAATGACCTGAATGCAAAGCCTCAACATTTTACACACTATGCGATCTATGATTTCATCGTCAAGGGCAGCTGCTTCTGTAATGGCCATGCTGATCAATGTGTACCTGTTGATGGCTTCAGACCTGTCAAGGCCCCAGGAGTATTCCACGTGGTATGTAACACAAGTTCTCACCAGTGAAAAACAAATCATAAGTTACCTTCAGCTTTGGGCACAGGTAGTCCAAGTTTCCTGAGAGCTGGTGTGTGTTTGCATAGTGCTTCTTGTTTCTTCCTTTGCTGATTCACTTCTCCAACTCCATATCCGTCCTGTAAAGTGCCTATTAACTTGTTTTTTAATCTTCAATTTTAGAATTATAAATAGTCAAGCATGATAACAAGATTCCTTGGAAAGCATCCATGCCAGTTTTTAGTACATGACCTTCAGATATAAAGTGTAAGGTGAGCAGTAGGAGAGGTTGGCATAATCATATTGGTGGCATTATCACACAGAAGCCAGCTTTGACAATAAATGGGGACCATTGTTGAATAGATTTTTATAGTGGAAAAAATAAGAACCTCCGTTTAAAGCCTGGTATCTTTTGCTGTTCAGCCAATAGAATGAATATTAGTTTTCCTCTGTGAACAGTGGCCTGACCCCCTCTCTCCCTATGCAGAGTTAAACTCTCTTTCCTCTAGGTTCACACATCTCCTGTGCTTTCTTCTGAACTTTTACCACTCCTCATCTCCTAGGAGATCTTGAACTCCCTGAGGACAGAGACTGTGATCTTTGTGTCCTCAGGACCGAGTGCATTGCTTGAGCCAGAAGTAGGCCTTCAGAAGGTGTTTGTATGATAGCAATATAGGAATAGAGAGATGATGAAAAATTATGATCGTGCCAAAACCGGTTTGGCTCAGTGGTATAGCGTCAGTCTGCAAACTGAGAGGTCCCGGGTTCGATTCCGGTAAGGGGCATGTACGTTGGTTGCGGGCACATCCCCAGTAGGGGGTGTGCAAGAGGCAGCTGGTCAATGTTTCTCTCTCATCGACATTTCTAGCTCTGTCTCTCTCCCTTCCTCTCTGTAAAAATTAATAAAACATATTTTTTAAAAAAGAAAAATTATGATCGTTATTTGTTCTCACCTCACCTTCTCCAACTTATTAGTTTCTAGACACTAATAGATCTTTGAACTAATATAGCTTCAATACAGGATTAGGTAATTCATTATATCTAAGTTAATTGAGTTGTATATGATTCAAATAGAAAATAACCCAGATATTCTAGAGACATGTCAACCTACTCTCCATAGTTTGTATGAGATAGAGTGCTAGAAATTTCTGCCGTTATATTTAAGTTAATTAGTGAAAGGAGAGGCTATAGGCTACAGTGAGTGAATATTTGTATCCTTCCAAAATTCATGTTAAAACCCTAATCCAATGGGATGGTATGTGGAGCTAAGACCTTTGGGAGGTAATTAGTTCATGAGAGTAGAGTCCTCATAAATGGGGCAGGTGTCCTTTAAGAAGAGGCCAGATGGCTAGCTAGCTCTACCTTTGCCATGTGAGGACATAGTGAGAAGTTGGCAGTCTGCTACCTGGAAGAGATCCTCACCAGAACCTGACCATGCTGGCACCCTGACCTTAGGCGTTCAGCCTACAGAACTGTGAGAAATAAATTTCTATTGTGTATAAGCTACTCAGTTTATGGTATAGCAGCCTGAATTGACTAAGAAGCTGCCCTTTGTTTCCTCAGCCGTCTCCTATAATCCAAGCCTTAAATGATCACTTCAGGGTAAAGTCCTGAGCAAAGGGATAGATACAAACAGCTCCCATGACATGGCCCAGAGTAGGCCATATCTCTGGAGAGAATGACCCATGAGACAACCTGAATGGCTCTGATTAACTAAACTAAATTTGTTTTCAAGAGCCTTACAAAACTCCCATGCATATGCATTTAAAAGCAATAGTTTGTTTGTTTGTTTCTTTCTTTCTTTCTTTCTTTCTTTCTTTCTTTTTTTTTGTAAATCCTCTGAATGTAAACTTTCAAGAGATAACATTTTCCAAGGCTAAAGAAAAAATTCTAGACATTTTATTATATTCTGTGGACCTGTGCAAATACACTGTCCAGGATGAGAACCACTTGCAGTGGGTATCTTGTGTCTGCTTCTCATCCAAGAAAAGCAATCCCATTATTGCCTCCTGTGGCTGGGAAAAGCTGGGCAAGGATGGAATCTGCCAAAACTGCAAGCTGAAGACAAACCACATCAGCCACCGGAGTTCGCTAAACACTGTGACTGTCTCTCCAGATGGATCCCTTTATGCTTTGGGAAGCAGGATGGCCAGGCCATGCTGTGGGATCTCAACAAAGGCAAGCACCTCCATATGCTAGACACTGGGGACATCATCATCACCCTGTGCTTCAGCCCCAACCACTATTGTCTCTGTGCTTTCATGGGCCCCAGCCTTAAGATCTGGGACTTGAAGGGCAAGATCATTGTAGTTGAACTGAAGCAAGAAGATATCAGTCCCACCCCAGTGCACCTCTTTGGCCTGGCCTGTTAATGGCCAGATTCTGTTTTCTATATGAACAAATTAATAGAGGTGTAGCAGGTGACCACCAGCAAACAATATATTCCAGAGCTTTAGAAGCAAAAAACTGACTTTCTGACTTAAAAAGAAAATAAATTCTATTAATTCTGTTAAATTTAACGGAATAATTATGCAGAGTTATCAGAGACTTTTGCAAAAATTTTAAAATATAACTATTATATACAATCTTCTGCCAGAAAGAAAACTGTCACCATGAGCCCACACCCCTGTGTCTGTGCCTGCTGGCTCTCTGCTCCATCCTGTCATTACCCCCTGCTCTCTTACAGCCCACCATAATTCTGATACATTCCAGCTGCATCCTGTCTCGGGTCACTGCCACCTCCCACCGAGGCCTTGTTGTCTTGCCTCTGCCACAGCCAATTCCTGGTAGGCTCATGTGGAGATGAGGGCCACAGATCCCATCTTAGGGGTCACAGAAGCCTATAAGAGAGACACCAACATCAAGAAGATGAGTCTGGAAGGCGATGCCTACCAGGATGATAATGGAAAGCTGTATATGCACCCTAAACCTGGACAAAGAATACCTGTATGTTGCTGAAAAGGTTGGAGTTTGCAAGGCATCTGCAGAACTAGACTTGGATAAGAATAGCACAATCTTGAAAAATGGCCAATATATCACTATGCAGATCGTTTTCAGAAATGTGGAAGGATTGGAGCCAGATATCTGCAAAGGGTTTTTAAGTTCAGCTGAGACATATTTCTGCCCAAACCATCCTGGGGGAAATTACTCATGCACCTTCAGGGACACTGTATTGGCTATCAATACTATGATTCCAAGACTTGTGGCTTTGATTTCACTGGCTCTAAAAAGGGCATTTCAAAAAATGTCACAGCAAAGCATTCTCCTGCATACCTGTGCCTACAATCATATGAGAGTGGGCACCCCATCTTGAGAAATGGAAGGAAAAGCAACAGTAGTGAGGAAAAAGAATCTCTCTATGTTCTTTGACATGACCTGCCAAGGATTTGCCATGTGTAATGGTACAAAGGATGCCATCAAAGAGAACATTAATATTTCTCTCTGCCAATCTTATGCCAAGGGACATGGGCTTATAGTGAGTATGTGGCAGCCTTCGAAGAAATCTGCAAAGATGCTGATGAAGCCCAAAGAGTTAAATTACAGTTGGAGATACTGATCCACCCAATGTGTTCCAACCCTCCTCTCAGTAGGACCCAGATTGCCTCAACCATTCTGACTACCTTGGATTTTCAAAAACAGTGGCAACAAGAAGTTTAAGTCATGACCAACCTTATCATTGGCCTGTGAGCTCAGCTTGTCTACAACCTCAAGAAGGAGGACTTCTCCCACCATTGGCAGCACATTCATGACCAGACTGGCATGTTTTGTTTTAGAGAGTTAAAGGCTGAAGAGATGGAATGGCTGACCAAGGAGGTCTCCATCTACATGACAAAGGTCAGCCACATCTCTGTCAGGGGTCACCTCAGACAACTGGGCTACCTAGCTCATTTACCAGCATGCCAAGTGATTTCCCTGGTGAAAGGAACAGAGACAACCTTCTTGTCTTCAGCTTCTGCTACTGTGAGATTCAATTAAATGTGTTTCTCAGAGAAGAACATATAGTGAAATGGGGCAGAGGCATCCATCCGTGGCTGATGTCCAAAATTTTCTGGCTCTAAACCAAATTCCTTCCCATCCTTTTATCTTCACCTTTTCCAAAAGGATTTACACGTGCAAGAAAATTACAGCCCCTCATGAACCTGTCAATCACACCATTGCACTATTACAAGAGCTTAAACTGAGGCACCTTATGGTGTTTGGTGTTTCCTCTGTGGATCCAGCATGAGAAATAGCCCATATTCTACGTTTTGTGAGAAGACCTAGTTCTAACAATAACAGTTCACCTGTTACCATCTTCTCATGATTGAGCAATTTTATCATTGGACAATAATATAGAAATTATATTTTATGAAAACCAGAAAATCTGTGGACATTGCAGCAAGGAAAACACAAGATGCTGTTTCCTGTCTTATTTGAAAAAAAAAAAAAAAGAGAGAGAGAAAAAAAAAAAGAAGAAGGCTCTCCTTTTTAATAATCACCGGTACTTTAATGTTCCTCTCTGCTTCCTAGCACTGCTGTTCTTTTCATTCGGCACAAAGGTTTATAACTAGTCTAGATTTTCATCCTCTTCTACTATTTCACAGACCATCAACCCCATTCTCTTATGTGAAGAAGAAAGAAAGATAACTTACTGCTCATCGCATACCCTCACCTTTTTTGCAAAGAATAGCGTAGAGTAGGCAACTGCATTTTATTTTAGCACCCTCTCTTGTGATTAGTTGTTTCCTGTTGGGTTTTTGCCCCTGCCTAGTTGGACCTTGTACGTCGATTCAGTGTGGTTGTGCTGTCACTCATGAGTCGAGCAAAGCTGGATAGTGGCAGGAAAGAGGTTATTCTGGGCTTTGGTTTTAACTGTGTGTGCTGCCAGCTGGGCTCAGGCCTCACCCTTTGGAAAGATAGCCATCTGCTCTAATCATGTAGCCTGTCTGCAGCCAGGTTTCTCAGTTACAATAAAGTTACTGTAGGAGCCCCCTCCCTTTAAAAGA